CAGCTGGGGAAGGGAGGAGCATGAGGATCACACCCAAGGGTCAGACCATGTGAGGCTACGGAAGGACTCACAGAGTGAGTGTGAGTGGTGACTCACAAAGGGAGGGATCATGGCCTCATCCAAGAAGGCAGCAGCAAGTCCAGAAGGAAGCAGTGGAACAAGGGAGGTACATAGCAAGGGCAACCGAGGTAGAGCTTAGGCGTCAACAGGAGAGGAGACAGGAGACAGAAGTGGGGGGCATCTGTGAAGTGACAGCAGCTTGTGCCCTCTTTCCTGAGTCATAGGGGTTATATCTGACCTTCCTCATAGCCTTGTAATTGTGATGCCGGAAGTCCAAAGGGTCAGAGGACCCCAGTGTGTGGGCCTCAGGGAACAGGTCATTAGTATCTAGAGAGAGAGAAGTCACAGGAAAGGGTTGAGTTCACAGTGGAGGATGCAGCCCGCACCCTGGCCCTGCCCATTCAGCCTTTGTGCACTGCCTACCTGAGGCTGGGCAGCCCAGGATCTCTGCTCGCAGGCAAGAGGAGCCTCCCTCTAGCCAGGTCTGGGGCAGCAGCCGAATGAAGCGGGCCACTTGGGACTCTGGCAGGAGGTTCAGCACTGGGGTTTCTGGGTCAGAATTGGCAGGAAATACCTGGGGGTATCAAGTTCTTTGCTAAAGCTATTTAGCAAAGCCCAGCCTGGCTCTGGATCCAGGGGATGAACTCAGTGAGCTCAAGGCTAACCTTGCCCGGGGGCTCAGCTGGACCTGTACTCTGTGTAAAACACAGACTCCTTGTCCACAGCCTGTGCCTATGTGCAGCCCTAGGCAGCTATGTTAGCTTGGGCACAGCTCATTAGACCAACATGGCCATGTGACTTGGGAAAAGCCTGTCCTAAAACTGGCTAGGACCTGTATTGTAGGTGGGTGTTAGGAGTTCTGAGGTGGAGAAGCCAAAACCATAAATGACTCAAGGCAGAAGTCAATGGCCAGAAGGGGTGTTCCAGAGGCAGGATGCACCCCATATTCAAGTTTTCTTATTCTCAGAGAAACCCCAGCTAGATTAAGCACCCTGGTGCCCAACTCCAAGCATACAGCCCAGCCACAGAGGGACCACAGGGGGACTCACTGCATCCTTCCCACTGCTGTGATTCCGACTCCACCACCAGGTCTGACTGTCATTGCTGAACTGGACCTTATATGATGTGACCCAGTCATACCTAGCAGGAAAGGTGAGCGCATCGGTGCCCCCCTATGACCCTGCGTCCCACTGCAGCCCTCCTATTTCCACCCACAACTTCTGGCCAAGGGCTTGCCTGCCTCACCTCCAAACAGAGTTCCTGCCCTGTGTGACAATGCCCGAGAAGCGGGTGGGTTTCTTAGCATCCACCTGAAGCCATGGCTCCATGTCCTGCTGCTCAGCACACCAGGCCCCATCATACAGATCACCATCCTCCAGGCCTGACTGTGGGCACAGGGCATGGCGATCAGGCCCAGGCAGACAGAGAGCGGCAGCTAAGACAGGGGCCTGGGGAAAAGGTCCCAGGGGCTCCTCTGCTACCCCCCTTAGGGCCAGAGTTGACTACCTGGATGTTGAGCCGTCCTCGGTGTGGTCCCAGACCAAAAGACTGGCTGCTGGAAGCCTCAAGCTGGCTATCTGAAACTTGGAGGGACTCCAAGCCCAAAGGTGGACAGCCTGGGGTGGGGGCCAAGCAGTGAGACAGGACCAGAGAAAGAGTAATCTGAGCAGGCGAGAAGTTGAGCCTGAGCTTGTTGGAGTCCTGGGCAGGCAGGGGGCATGCCTAGGACCAGGAGGGCAAGAGCTACACCGCTAAGTGCCCCAGAAGCCACAAGCACAGGCAGGGCCCTGCAGAAGGAGTACCTGGTTCCTGTTTCTCAAGGAGGCTGAGGGTCCCTGGGGGGCTGGTGGTCACCAAAGGCTTAGAAGTCACAGAGGAACTGGAACTAATTAGTTTCTTCCGCTTCTTCAAAATGACCTTTTTCTTCCGGGTGACTCGAATCCAGGTGTGCTGTTTTGAGGTTCCTAGAGTCCAGCAAGGGACAGCCCCGAGAGAGGGAGGCATGCCATGAAACCCTGGATGGAAAGGTCTGCCAGGCCAGGGAGGCACGCAGGTACTGAAGTCCTCAGTTTGGACCGAACATTCCTTGGCACCTCACACTGATGGCCAGCCAGACCTCAAACCTTCAGACCCAGTGGACACTCACATCCAACCTCTAGAAACTGGTAGCTCCCTCCCCTGTCATCCACCACTTGGTTGTACCTTCTGCAAAGCGCCTCACTGAGCTCCAGACTAAAGCTCATGCCCAGATCCCCTGTGCTGAGCTGAGGTTTCCCGTCCTCAACTCCATTTTGGCCTGGAGGCTTGCAGGGCTGCAGCTCACTCACCCTCCCACACAGTCTTGCACAAGCCAGTGTGGCCAGATCCCTTCGCACGCACGCTCTAGAACATGGTGCATGCTGGTGTGTGGTGCCCCTGTACCTTTGCACATACTGTTCCCCTCCTGGTTCCCCTGTCTGGTCCTGACTCAGTCCCTCTTCAGGATCCAGGTCCACTTGCTTCCCTTGAAGCCCCTGACTGCCTCCCCTTGGCTTTCTCCAAAAGCCTCCATCTCTTCCCTCCAGGACCCCTGTTCCTACTGGCTGCATCCCCAGCAAAGTGCCTCTCTCTCCCTCCCAACCTTGCCCTGAGAGTATACACAGGCTTGCTCTGTGCCCCATTCTTTTTTTGGTGGAACTGAGGATTGAACTCAGGCCCTTGCGCTTACCATGCAAGCGCTTATTGTACTGAGCTGTCTCCCTGGCCCCTCTGTGCCCCTTCCTGAATGTCTCTGTGCCACTTTCTGCCCTCCTCAGGCTCTGGCCTCAGTTTTTTCATCTGTGGAAAGGAAAGGTTTGGGGCTAGAAGAGCCTGCATCCCTCTGGCACCTGTCCAGGGACTAATGACTGGATCCAGACAGACTGGGGCTGCTGAATCAGCAATTATTGCACAGCCAGGAGCTCTTATGTGTGCGCATGAGTGTGTGCCTTTGCATCTGTGTGTGTGCGCCTCAGTGTCTGTATGTGTCCCTGTGTATGCGTCCATGTCTGTTTGCACCCATGTGTGCACACCTGTGTGTGCTTCAGTGTCTGTATGTGTGCCTGTGTATGCATGTCTCTGTGTGCACGCCTGTGTGTGCCCGTGTCTCTGTGTATGCCCGTGTATGTGTATATGTGAGTCTGTGTATCTCTGTGTCTATGTCTGTGCTCGTGTGTGCGCGCCCGTGTGTGTCTGTGTGCCCGTGTGTGTCCAGGTCTCTGTGTGTGCCCGTCTGTGTGTGTGTCTGCGTGCAGCGGAGCGGGCGCCGGCACGGTTGAGGGAAGCTCACCGTTCGCCTTCACGGGCTGCAGTGCAGGGCTGCTACGCGGGGCCAGGGTGGAGCCCAGGGCTGCGGTGGTCGCGGGCCGTGCCAGGTCCAGCTCCCAGGCACTGGGAGCCCCCAGACCCAGGCCGACGGCGGGCGCGAGGGCAGCCAGGGTGAGCAGCGGAGCCCACATGGCGAGCGCGGGAGAGCTCGGGTCTGCTGGGTGGGTTTGCGCTTCCTGCAGCTGCTCCGGAGCCCCCCGCCCCTTCCTGCCCGCCCTCGCCCCCGCCCCCCGCCGCTCCAGCCCGCCCACAGACCTTGCCCGCCTCGGACCTCCGAGCTGGAGCAGGGACGCCTGATCCCTTACAGACCCGAGGGCGGCTCACAGACCCCAGTGGTGCGGGCGGCGTGGGTCTTTGGCCCCTTCCTCTCTCGCGCCAGCCTCGCCCCGGAGCCGCCCTTCACAGCGGCGAGGCGCCGTCCCCCAGTAGGCACCTACTTGGTACCATACACGGTGCCAGGAGTTTTACACAGGGTCTTTCAACCAAACTTCGTTTTACAATCTGGTAAACTGAGGCGCGGGGCATCTTATTGATTTGGCCACGGTAGAAAAGGTGAGAACTTTGGGGGAAGAAACTACAACCCAAGGAGGAAATCCACCTAGAGCCACAGGCTCCCTGCCAGGGTGGATGAGACAAAAGGGAGAAAGGAGGGGGAAACTGAGGCTGCAGAGAGGGCGGAGTGAGGGGGTGGAATCCTTGGAAAAGGAAGAAATCCCTGGGCAAGAACACAAGAGGCCCAAGCGAAGGCGAAGGCGGCGCTTCCCATCACCACCCCACACCCACCCCAGTCCCGCCTCTCCTCTCATTCCCCTCCCCCCCCACTCCTTTGCTCGCCTAGCTGCCACGTTCCGGACTTACATAACTCAGGAAGAAACAGCCAGAGCAGATACCCAGTGGGCTGGAGCAGGGATGGAGGGACCGAGGCTGGTGCGGGCCCCGCCCTCCTCCCTCTATCTTTTTCCCTTTCTGCACCCCTCCGACCAGGGTCTGCAGCCTTGGGTCTCACTGTTCACCCCTGCACAAGGCATTACAGAGCACAGGATCATTCCCATCCTCCATACTGGGCCCCCTTTGAATCCAGAACGCCAGAGTGGCCTTTCATAAAGGAAACAAAAACAGAACTTTCCGCAGTGCGGCTTTTGGCCAGTGCTTCACCTTGTTGCCATCCCCACCAGAAGCAATGCCCAGGAGTACGAGGGAAGCTTCTGGAGTGTCCGAGTCCTTGAGCATTTGGGTCAGGGCTATTATCTATATAAACACTTTGTTTCCCAGAATCACCCTTGTCTGCATCATTGTGGTGGCCCAAGCTCACATGATCCATGGAAAGAAATACTGTACTGTGCTCCTGAAACTGAGACTCACCCCTGGTATTGAGGACCCCAAGTTGTAAGTCCTGGAGCCCAGGGGGCCTCTGGTCCACCCACTGTGCACATGAGCCAGAGGGCTAGAAAGACCCAGAAGTTACTAACCAGCTGTGGGAGGACCAGGTCTCTGTCTAGACAGCACTGCCAGGCCCAGTGCACAGGGAGCCCTGGGCAAATGACACAGGGAGAGGCAGGAGAGGAGTGTCAGGCTGAGCTTCCCAGCTTCCCGACATGGGAAGCCAGGTCCAGACAGGTACCCAGGACTGCCTAGCCATTGTCCAGTCACCATGTCCACTTCCCTGTCTCTGGCCTCCAACCCCATTTAAGTTTCCCTGACAGTGTGAGGTGAATGTACAAATGACAGGCTGTCCATCTCTTGCGGCTTCCACCCCTCCAAAGTCCTACATACAACAGCCACATGGAGTCAGTTCCTTCTGCTTAGGTCCCAGCAGGCTCACTGTACCAAGTTCCTTTCCACTCCCACCTTTCCCACCCATCCAGGCAAGTGATTTCCCCTGCCTCCTCTCCTTGCAGTCACACTGGTATTCAAGCTGTTCCCCCAGTGTGCAGCCCTCTGCTATTTGGGATGCAAAAGACCCCTTGTCCTCATGGCTTCTGTGAGTCTGTTCACCAGTCTGCTCTCCCTCTGCACAGAGTCCTCCTTTTCCACCTTTAGTAAATGCACATCCTGCTATCTTTTCTGTGTGTCTTGTCCAATTCTTTGTTCAGGATACCACCTGGAAAGAATTCCCTTGGAATTCTTAGTCCCCAGGAATACACTATCCTGTAACAATCATGCCTCTAGATCTTTGCAGTAATAGTTCACCAAGTCTGCATTTTTATTGTTTAGATTATTTCAGTGTCAAATGTTCCCAAAGCCTGTCTGTGACCACTCTAAATTCTACCCTCTTAACTATATGGTCTCTCACCGTTTATTACTATTTTCAAAACACTCAACACTGTCTGAGATTACCTTATTTTAATTGCCGTTTATTGCCTGAGACCACTAGCCACCACCACCAGCAGCAGCAGGAGGAGAAAGCCAGGACACCTCCTTTTTTCTTTTTCTTTTTTCTTTTTTTCAGAACTGGGGATTGAACTCAGGCTCTTGCGCTTGCCAGGCAAGCACTTAGTCTACTGAGCTATCTTCCCAGCCCCCACAGGATACCTCCTGAAGAGCCTTTGCACCCATGTGGTTATACCTGTACCTTGGGACATATAGTAGCATGTGGTCCCTGGTCAGCACTTAAAAAAAAATGTTAAAAAAATAAATAAAAGTAAAAAAAAATAAAAAATGTATGTGTTATATATTCATAACTGAAGGGAGCAAGCAGGCTTTCAAGGAAGCTGATTCTCCCAACAAATGCCAAGTTTTGCAAAAGAATATTATGAGCCATGAACTAAAAAAGATCCAAACTTCCAGGCCAGCCTGGACCAAATAATTCTAGGCCAGTCCAAACTGTACAGTGAAACCTTATCTCAATCAATCAAAAGACCTACTCCTAAAGAGACTGGGATAACTGGCTCTATCCTGCCAGTCACTTATGGGTTAGATCTATGTGATGCTAGTACCACTTTGTCTGCTGTGCCAAATCTACCCCTTTCTCAGCACTCTGAACCCCTGGCCTTTCCCTGTTGCAATTCTCAGGTCCTTCCTATTCCTCTCTGCCCCCCACAGCCACTCACTACTTTCTCACCTTTCTACACGCCCAGCTCACCTGATGCCTTTGTTCCTTGCCACTGCTTACCTAGGGAAGCCCGAGAACAGGTTCTGGAGGTGGTGTCTTCAGGGGCAGAGTAGTAGTCTTATGCCCAGTACCCAGATCTTTATCTCTAAGAGCTGGGTGAAAGAGCTTTCATGGTGTCATTGTATGTGTTGCAAAGCACAACTAAAGAAGACTTAGCAGGACTCTAGCTTGGCAGAGAGGATCGGCCAAATAGCTCAGGGGATTAAAGCACCTGCTTAGGCAGACGCAGGGGCCGGGGATTCAATCCCCAGGCTTGCCGTGCTGACCCTGGCCCTGGGGTGTGCTGAGACAGCAATTGAGACTGGATGTGGTGGCGTGTGCCTGTAATCCCAGCATTTGGGAGGCTATAAACAGGAGAATCACTATGAGTCCAATCCATGCAATGAGACCCTGTATACCCTGTCCTAAATACAGAAAGAAAGAAAGAAAGAAAGAAAGAAAGAAAGAAAGAAAGAAAGAAAGAAAGAAAGAAAGAAAAGGAAAGGAAAGAAAGAGAAAAGAAATGGGCTGGGCATCTTCTGCTGCCTTCCTGGTATGGTCATATTGCTGAGGGTAAGGAGGATAGATGACTTTGGTGCCACCCAGGTTTAATGTCATATCTCACTTATACTGTTAATTTTGCCTGGATATCCGTAGACAGTAGTTTTGCTTCTCAGAGATTCAGTTTCCTCATCTGCAAAATTGGAACCATATCTTCATTCTAGGGTTGCATATGAAGTGAGATAACGTATGGTCCCAGGCATCTCTTAGATTAATCAGATGAATGAAAGGTATGGAAAACAGCTTAGCACATTCCTCTTCCTCCCACATAGTTAGGTAGGCCAAAACATATCAAGGTAAAGCTATGTGTCTCGCTACAAAAATAATAAAGGGATAGATCTACTGTCTGTTACTCCCCGTTTCCTGTTCCTGGTGCTAAGGCAGAACTCATTCCCTACCAGTTATTCCCCTTTGGATACAGACAAGACTGATGGACACACACACACACACACACACACACACACACCTTCCCCTCACCACTATTCCAGTACTGCCCCTTCTGTACACATCAATGTCTCGGACAGTCTCATTCCCAAAGCATAGCCAAGGATCAGCAGCACTGGTATTTCCTGAGAACCTGTTAGAAATTCAGAAACTTTACATCAGAATCTGCAATTTAACAATATTCACAGAGGATTCAATCCCAAGAGATTCCTATGCATACTAAAGACTGAGAAACGCTACTTAGAGGTTTAGAGCACATCCATAAAAAATGCATGAGATTCACAACTTCCTGAGATTAATAGTGCTTGATGCTTTCCCTCTAATTTTTATCTTAAATCACATAAAATATATCCACATAGCAATAAGAAATTGATCTTTCATTCATTCTGGGAGAGTTTATTCCTGATCTCCATATAGTATGACTTATACAATTTACTTTTATAACTAAATCATCTTTTTCAAAATACAATGTAGTTTAGGGCTGGGGATATAGCTCAGTGGAATAAGGGCTTGCCTGGCAAGCACAAGATCCTGGGTTCAATCCCTGGTACCGCAAAAAAATAAATAAATTGACTAAGCTGTATTGTTTTAAAAAAATACAATTTAGTTTAAATCACATGTAGGTGTGTAATAGAAGGCTCTTCTCTGTGCTTCTCTATTCCCAAAACAATCACTTTTAATCATTTTTTGTTACTTTTCCTTGTGTTTATCTCTATGCTTCTGTGGCTAGTTCTTGATTTTTCTATTCTGATGTTATCTGTGGATTTTCTGCTATGAAAGTATTAAGCTCTCTTACCCACCAATCTACCTACTTACATGCACACACACACACCCAGGTACTCATTCATTTTTCCCTTTGCATCCCAATAAAGCTCGATCATGGCCAGCAAGATAGCTCAGCAAACTAAGTGGCTGCTTAGGCAAGCACAGGGACTGGATTCGATCCAGGTACCACATGCCATGCTGGCCCCGCCTCCCAGGCACACTGAGCCTGCATGGAGTCTGGGCATGACATTTATTCCATTTCTGAAACTCCAGCACCAGAACACCTCCCACAAACTGATGCTTAGAACACCTCGACAGCACCCCCTGTCTTTTCTCCACCTGGAAGGTCATGTGAGAGCCCAGCCCCAGAAAGCCTCAAGTACCTTGGCAGAGCCACCTCTGCATTCCAAGGCTGCAGCCTGCAGCCACTTCCTCCCAGAGTCCATAGGCATCACCCCACTTTCAGAGAAGAATGATGGGGACACAAGGGTTGAATGACTCATGGGCACATGGCTCTGGAAACCCACAGGAAGAAAAAAGCAGTCACTGTTCCCTTGGACAGCAGCCTAAGTAGTGATGACTTTAAAATGCCTTCCTGACAACCCAGAGTCCCAAGGGAGAGCCCTAGAGCAGAAAATTAGCAAAAGCTTTTTGTTCTCAGATATCACTAACTTGCCCGCTAGGCCCTACACTGACCCAGGTATCTATATAGCCAGACCAGCTGTAGCCCCTAACTCCCCTAGGGTCCTACCTGTCAAGAGATCACAATGCTCCAGATGTTCAATCCCAGAACAACTGACCAAAGGGGGAGGAAGTGGGAAGGGGTTGGAGGGTGAGCATGTAGGGAGGGAGAGATTCCCAAAGGTCCCAGTTCCCACCCTCATAGCTCATTCTCTGGTGTCTGCCAGGGTCCCATCTTCCCCACCCTGCCCCTCTTCCACAACTAAGGTGACTTTCTATCATATCATCTCCATATTCCTCCATGACCTTGTTCTGTTTATTCAGATTGAAAGTCCTTGCAGATCCAATCTTCCTCCCTCCCAGGGCCCTGGTACTGTGGCGGGATTGGTAGGTCAGTGCACCCCTGAGTATCAAACCAGGCCCAGCTCCTGGACAGTGTCATAGGGCTGGCAGCACTTAGGCTGACAACCAGAGCAGTATTTACCATGGCCGGACCAGCTCTGCTGCTGCTGTTGCTGCTCAGCTTCCTCACCTTTGACATGCTCCACAGGTAAGTGGGCAGCAGCCTGGCAGGTGGGCAGTGCCACAAGCCCAGATGCCATCCTCTCTTTCTCCGCTACAGGCCTTTAGGTCCCACCGTGCAACAGCACAGACACCTCACAAGGGGACAGAGTCAGGGAGCTGGTGAGGGTCCAGGACAGCAGGCAGCTCCTCTCTTGCCAACAGGTCACCCCAGCCTCCAGAACATACTGCTCCTGCTGCTCCTGGGCCTGGGGCTGTTCTTGGGAACCCACAGCATGCTTCTAGCCCTGTTGGGCCTGGCTTTCTGCCTGCATCCGTGGGCCTGAATTTCTCCCAAGGCATCAATGCCAGCCCCCAATACACTGGTCATCCTACTTCCTCAACCTGGCCTCTTTTCCTTCATCCTGGGCTGGGCAGGCCTGAACCTCAGGGGACCTCTGGCTTCATAGTATGATAGTGAAAAACCTGGATCTGAGACTTGGAGTAGCAAAAGAAGGCAGCATACAAGGTAGAGAGCCCAAGGTAAGATGTGGCAGCCATCCCATAGGCTGCATGTTAGGGGCAGCCATTCTGGTCTTGGAAAGCAAGAATTTGGAGAGAAAGACTTGTAAAAGTAGGGTGGGGCTGGAATCAGTATTAAAGAATGGACAGGGATGGGAGAGGTATTTCCCATAAGAAAGCATGAGAAACACCTGTGGGGCTCCTCAGGGTCCCTTGCCCAACCTGCAGGGCCCATGGAAAGGAAGTCAGGAGCCTCAGGGGAGCAGTAGCTTCTCTCTCCTCTGAACCCCACCCTGGCCCGGGTCACAATGGAGCTCCTCTGGGGAGGGACGGGGTGAGTAAGAGTGGTAGCTCAGATCCAGCTGCCAGGCAGTGCAGGGCACAGCAGGAAAAAACATGACTTAGGCAGCTCCACCCAGAGGTAAGTCCTGAACCCCAGTGCAAAGCCCCACTTTGCCCAGCCTGGTGCCCTTCAGACCCCAGACCCCTGTTCTGAGGTTCCAGGAATTTCTGGGTCTGCTCCTGCAGCTGGCCTGGGCCTGTTCGCAGGTGCACCCACCACGATGCAGCAGTCCAGAATGGAGACGGATGACAGCGGGGCTGGAGAGGGGCCTCAGCGGGCGGTCCCCTGGTCAGCCTGGCTCACCCGGCAGGCCTGGATGCGCTGGTGTGCTCGTCGTGTGCCCCAGAGCTGGGCCCAGTGGTGGGCCACAACTAGCTGGAGGCAGCCACTGCAGCGGGTGCTATGGAGCCTGGAGGGGGTCCTCTACCTGCTGCTGGCCCTCATGCTGTGCCATGCACTCTTCACCACTGGCTCCCACCTGCTGAGCTCCCTGTGGCCCGTGGTGGCTGCAGCGTGGCACCATCTGCTGCCAGCTGTCCTGCTGCTGGTGCTCAGCGCCCTGCCCGCCCTGCTCTTCACTGCTTCCTTCCTGCTGCTCTTCTCCACGCTGCTGAGCCTAGTGGGCCTCCTGACCTCCATGAACCACCCAGACTATGCTCGGGACTTGAATGAATAGAAGCAACCGCATCCTGCTGCCTGTTGTCTGTTGAGCCCTGGACCAAGGCCTGAACCCGGAGGGAGGGAAGGCAGTGGGACCCCCACCTCAAGTTGTGGAGTACACTTCTGACCTCCTCTTGGGAACCTTTCTCAAGCTGATGCTACAGGTACCTGGTGTGAGGGGCCAAGGGCTTTGAGGGGATAGGACAGATGGCAGTGTCTTCTTGTGACAGCGACCCAACTGTCTCAGCTTCAAATTCCCCAGCATTCCTGGACTTGCCCTTCCTCCCACCAACCCACTTTCCACTCCCAGGAAGACCATGGTTCTGAAAAGTGACAGAAACCTTCTGGGGAACACTGATCAAAAGCCCTGGAAACCACACCTCACTTACATCCTGACCTTTCTACTCAGACATCTCTCTTCCCTGAATGTTCTGCCTCCTGCCTCAGTTCACAACCCCAAGCTGGTAAATAGAACAACCACAGTGCGCGCGCGTGTGTGTGTGTGTGTGTGTGTGTGCGTGCGCGTGCACAAGCTCAAAGTCTTGGCCATGCACACAGTATGCTCCAACATTAAGCTATACCCTTAGCCCCTGTCTACTCAGTCCCCATGTCTTTTATGGAAAAACATACAAACCCTATTTCAGCCATTTATGCAATGTATGGCCTTGGCCAATTCATTCTTTTAAACTGCAGTGTTAGGTGGGTTCCTACATTGTCACACGGTTACTGGGAATGAAAGGCAATATCTATTTGCAGAGTACTTTGTGAAGGCCAGAAAGACTGTTAAGATGTTGATTTGAACTCTAAGAATATTCTCTAGAATCAAAGGTCTCTTTACCCAGAAAGCCAATAAACAGCAGGAAGTTTCCCAGAAACAGAATGTTGGCCCTAAAACAGCAGAGGGTGAATGCAGTGGACAATATGTGAAAGGTCTCGCGTCATGAAATTTCAAAACGTGCACATGCTGAACTCTTCTGATTGCGAAATCCTTGGGGCCGAGGCCAGGTGCCAGGACATACTTGCACAGCTGTGTGAGCAGGAAAGGCCCAGCCCAGGGATTTCCAAAAGCATCTCAATGAGCTGCTCATAGCCCAGAAGGGCTTTGGAAGGTGGCATCTCTCTGGCACTCCAGATTCTGCCCATTGCACTTTTTTTTTCTTTTTGAGATAGGATTTCACTATGCAATTCAGGCTGGTCTTCAACTCACTTTACACCCCAGGCTGGACTCAAACTTGCAGCAATACTTCTTCTGTGGTGCTGGGATTACAGGCATGCATCGCCACACCCGGCTTCCATTTGCACATCTGATGACTCCTCCAAACAAAACATCGAATGATCAGTTATTACCAAGTAAAATGTATGATAGACAATTTATCCACAGCTAGGGTCCACCCTTCTGGCCTGGCCCCCATCCATTCCTGTCTGTCCCCACCTAATCCCTGATCCTCCCCAACTCCTGCCTGCTCCTGACTCTCACTTTGTATTTAATTCCAAAGTTCTTGCTTCTGAAGTTCCTGACCAAAGGGCCCTTTCTCCAACCACCTAAATACATAGGCCCTAGAACCAGTTTTTAGAACCATGGTTCATTTTTGCCAAAACACTCGGATAACTTCAACTTCAGTGCCTGACACCAGGGTGAGTCTTCCTTTCCTGTTGCCTTGTAGTTCTCCCTGAAATATGTTCTGGTAGTGAAGGCAAGCTAGGGCATGGAGGTGCTATAGCTTTATGTTTAACATGGTATATTTTCTGGGGTTCAGTCTGAACCCAGCACTGTCACCTTCTAGCTCCCTGATCTTATTGGGCAATTCTTCCTGACATTTTCCTTATGAGTAAAACAAAGACAAGGCCACCTGTCTGGTTTCTGTGGGGATCCTTCATGCAGGCGAGGTTCCTGGACTGATACTATCTCCACAAATTACAGTCTAACTATCCTAGTTTAGAGATGAGAAATCAGACTTAGTTTAGCCACTCTTTAGGGGGCAAGGCAAGGCTATCTGTTGAGAAGGGATTTTTAAAAAAATTTTTTTTTAATTTTTGGCTGGGTCAGGCTGCCTGAAGGGAGGGTCTGGTAAGGCATGTGGAGCTGGGTATCCTGAGCCTGAAGCCTGACTGTGTTTGCATAAGTAGGCGCTTAAACAACTGAGCTAACCGGCAGGCCACCAAGGCCAGGCTATCTGAATCCCAGTCCTCGTAACAGGCTACTAAAGGGAAAGTCATGGGGGCTGGAGAAGGACAATAGCCTATGGCTATTGAAGACTACGGCTACCCTTATTCTTAGAACTCCTGATTAGACCCAGGCCTAGGCAGATTGGGAGTCAAATCTGTATAGATGGCTTGGGTACTAAGGCTTATGTGGTGGACGGAGACCAGGGTAGCTAGCTGGTGAGGGTCCTTCAATGACTTGACCATGCCTGGCTATCACTCTGGAGACTTAGGGTCATTCCTATCAAGGGAGAAAGGAAATTTAGGCCAAGTCCATATGCACTAGGGGACAGGGTATAGGTAAGAGCAGGAAGAAGCTGCCTTCCCATATGTAAATAAGTACCTTGTCCCCTCCTGCTGCTCCTGTGTAGGGTAGGGGATGGTACAGCCAGACTGGAAAGTAGAGGTCTGTGTGGTCCTTCCTCCTCTACATATGGTCCCAGAACCAGCAGTGTAGACATCCTCAGGGACCTGTTTAGAAATGCAGTCTCATCCAGATGTGGTGGCACAGACTTGTTTGTATTCCCAGCACTTTGAAAGGCTAAGGCAGAAAGAGTACAAGTCTGAGATCAGCCTGGGCTACACACCAAATTCCAGGCCAGCCTGGGATACAGAGAAAAATCCTGTCTCAAAAACAACAAAAGCAGAAAGGAGAAAAAGGTGGAAAAGGTGGAGGAGGAGGAGAAGAGAAAACAGAAGAAATGCAGCGCCTAAGAACCCATGAAATGCTGCTGCATCAGAGTCAGAGCCTGTGTGATACGCGTGTACCCCAGCGCTTGAGAAGCACTGAATAGGGCCTGATAGTGGATATTCCCAGTGGGGGCAGGCAGATGGCAAGGATGAAACATGCAGACACAGACCACGGAGAGGGGCAGCAGTTGAAAGGACAGAAGCTACACGGATCCCTCTTAAAATTCTAGCATGAGAAAAAAATTAGCATGGAGAATAGAAACAGAATGAAAAATAATACAAATACATTTGGCACAAATTTAAAATAAAAAACAAAAGAAACTGAATGGCACGGAGTGGGTATAAAAGAGAATAAATCAAGAGACCTTGCAAAGAGGCAGAGAGAGAGAGAGAGAGAGAGAGAGAGAGAGAGAGAGAGAGAGAGAGATCTATGTAATTCTTGAACTTTTTAATACAGACAAACTTGTCCACTTAGAGTGAAAGGTGAAAGGTCTTAAATACGCCTGCTGGGGAAAACGGACTCGCTAGAAGGGAGGTGTTCCAAGCCCTTCCTGCGTGGGCCCAGGTGCAAGAGCTGTCCTGGCCTGTGACCCTGGGCCGCTGTGTGGACAGTTTTGCCTGTCCAACCCCACTCCGCAGTCTTATTGGAGGGAACGGCTGGGGTCTAGCAACCCGTTTGGCCTAGCAGAAAAATAATCTGGTGAGGCAGGGTATAATGAGCTGAGTTCCTTAGCTCTGAGGGGCTCGCATCTAAGTAGGGGGCTTCTCAGCAGCTCACATCCATCCTAGAAACGCAGAGCAGGGGAGAAAGAGGGGACTCCCTGTAGGTAGTCCTCCCTTCTTCAAGGAGAGGGGCGGGCGGGCAGCCCAGAACGGCTGGGGGCGGGGTTGCTGCTGGGGGACCTCCGAAGCGAGCATTTGTGGCCATCTGGGGGAAGGAGAGGGGCCCAGGAAGAAGGCCCGGCACTGCCCGGACCTTCCAAGAGCTGACCGAGGGAAACCGGGAGGGGGCGCTCTCGAGTGACAATGCAGGCGGCTGCCGGTGGGGGAAAGGGGGGAGGGTCCTGGGACCCAGGGCGGGAGGCCTGGAGAAGGGAGGAGAAGGATCTTCCGGACCGAGGGCATCTTCCAGGACTAAGGCCTCCTCGGACCAGACCCGGGGATGGCGCCTGACACCAGCACAGGTGTGCGGGCAGGCTGCGGCCTGTGCGGGGTCTCCGCGGAAGGAGCTCGAGGGCAGTGCCGCTTCTGAGAGCCTAGCGCCGAGGGACGGCTGCCAGCTCTGGGGCGTCGACGTCCCTGCAGCCAACCGCGGCGAGCGGGCCGGTGACCCCGGTGAAAGGTGCGCGTCCTGGGAGGAGGAGGGAGGGTCCTGGTTCCCTAGAGCGGAGCCAACACTGGCGGGGCAGGACGCGGGACCAGGGAGCAGGGAGAGGCATCTCGGGCCCACAGTCAAAACCGATGTCAGTTTCGTAGCCTCCTCTCCCCTGCCCTCAAATCTGCAGCTGGGGTCCCCAACCAGAGACCTGGAGGCTTTGGACACAGAACACAAGAGGATCTTGGGAAGGAACTGGCCACTGCATAGTCGAGCTTCCGGTGTCTCCTGACCCAACCCTGGTCTGATATCTTACTCCTCACTCTTTCTGGGATCAACTATCTTTGAGTGCACTTTAGTTGGGACCTGGGTGCAGCTAGTTTTGGACAAGGTTGTTTTGTTTTTCTGCTGACCAAACATTTCCATTTCAAACTAACCCATGTTTTCTTTATATTGATTTTTATTTTTATTCATTATTATTACTTGTGCTTTTGAGACAGGGTCTCGCAATAAAGTTCCAGCTGGCCTTGAGCTCACTTTGTAGCCCTAGCTGGTCTTGAACTCGAAACAATTCTCCTGACCCAGCCTCCTGAATGCTGGGATTAGAGGCGTGTGCCACCACGCCCGTTTTATATTGATTTTCTATCTTAAAATATTTTCTATTTTTAAAGAATTTAGGGTCCAGGAAGATAGCCAGTGGCATAAATGTCTGCTTGGCAAGCATAAGGACCTGGGTTTGATTGCTGGACTCAAATACCTTGTGGCCCCAGAACCAGGCATCATGGGGCACACCACTAATCCCAGTGCTAGGGAGGCTGAGGCAGGAGGACTGCCCTGAGTTTGAGGCTAGCCTGGGCTAGTT